TAACTACTGCTCAAGCAGGAGATCGTATACCATTTCTGACAGATGGCTGTCCAGTTCTCTTCTTGGAAGCTTCCACTGATGAAGCAACCACAACTTCTGAAGGATTTCCTGATAGACAGCATCACAGATTTACTCTAGATCATGGGTGGGCTACATCTTACTTCCATATATTTAGGAGCACAATTTCTCCACTTCCTTGATGATGGATGGTGTTTATAGAAGATAAGGCAAAAACATTTAGAAGATGCCAGATTTCTTATCTTTTTGTCAACCACTACAGTTAATATAAGGGATGTGGTGCTCAATGGCTAAGACGTTGGGCTTGTCGATCAGAAAGTCGGCAGTTCAGCGGTTCAAATCCCTAGTGCTGCATAATGGAGTGAGCTCTCTTACTTGTCCCAGCTTCTGCCAACCTAGCAGTTCGAAAGCATGTAAAAATGCAAGTAGAAAAATAGGAACTACCTTTAGTGGGAAGGTAACAGCATTCCATGTGCCTTCGGCATTTAGTCATGCCGGCCACATGACCACGAACAATTCTTCAGACAGCACTGGCTCTTTGAAACGGGGATGAACACTGCCCCCTAGAGCCAGAAACAATTAGCACACATGTACGGGGAACCTTACTGTTAATATGGCATATTGAAAAATTACTAAAGTTGTTTTCTGAGTAATGTATCTGTGTATACTCCTTGTAGTAATAAGGCTTCATAGATTTAAATTTAATTAAACCACAGAGAAGAAATTGCTAATATCCAGAAAACATCCCATTTGACCTTAATAGCACTTTCTTATCACTTATAATAGCTATACTATACCAAGCTTTATTCAAGGATTAATATGACACATACAACTTAATATTCCTTGACGTATGTATGACAAATGTAGGCATATATATTTAACATTACTCCATGGATAATATGATAATCAAAAATTCTGCTATATGATTTAAAATGAAGAAAACAAGGTACAACCCCCTCCTCCTTTTCCTGTCAATTAGTGGTCATCTAGAGTTTTTACACCTGAATTCTGATAGCCTTTCAATATCAGATTTAAGCTCTGATTATTTTTGTTCTGATTATATGGCAAATATTTGTCATACATGTAACTGAGAATACAAGTCCAGTTGTCTTCAAAAGTGCCAAATTAGATTCTCTCAGTACATTAAGCTTAATTGGCTTATTGTAATGGAATGTGTGAATGACCTTGGGGAAAGAAGGAAAGATATGCTGCCTAGGAAACAATCAGACAAGAGAAGCAGGACTCCCAGTGGCTTAATTTTCAGAGAAGGAAACTTAAGAAGGACCGGTCCTATTAGACCAAGCAGTTGAAATTGATAACAGGAAGTTTGTGCTTTCAGATGTTCAAGATTCTGTTACTATAGCCTTACAATAAAATATAATTAGTTCATCTAGTGATGCTTCCTGTCTGGTTTACCCAGGACATCTGATATTTACCCATGGCATTTGAATGATTCAGCATATTGTATCAATCCAGCAATGGTTTTATGCATAGTATGTTATAAAAGGACGCAGTGGCTCAGTGGGACGCAGTGGCTCAGTGG